TCGGAAAAAGTCGTATTCTGGGCTGCAGAACATCTTGTATATAATTTCAGTCGCAGCTGTGACCACGAATACCTTACTCATTGCTCTTAGTGTTCTCTTTAACGATTTTAATTAAACAACTCTCGAGGAGTTAATGGTTCGTTCAACCGTGCCTGTCTCAGATCACGGTTAAGTCTGACGAATTATTATTGCCCATTATCATAAAACTTGATTCTATTTCCCATCATATTATAGCCCGAACGATCTAAAAACAGTTAAAAGCATCTCAATACTCTAGTGATTTCATTGCCGCCTCCTTTTTCCAGTTAAAACAATTAAAATACTTCTTTTGAATCATCGGGCTTTTTAAACGGTTTCCGATATTCTAATTAAGTAAAATTCATTTCACTGTACTCAATCTCCATTCAATTTTTTAATTCTGCTAAATTTCCAATGGCGTCGACAGTGGAAAAATCTGTGTATTTTGCAGGCCTATAGCAACTTATTAATTCTTTTACTCTTAGATAAACTGAGAAATTATGTACTTATATTTATTGGGCGTACCAATAAGTAATCCACTACGTTCTTCATAAAACAACTATTTTGTTTAAATTCAGTATGTCATCAGATGTAGTATGTAATTTCAAGTGTAGTGACCATATGTGCTTAACATTGACTTCTCCGAAAAAAAGGGAAATCTCTTTGTATGACCAAAACATTACAGGAAAAAATTCTGACGCGAGGAATCTGTCCCGAATTGTATCGCGACTTTTCGCCGCCACACTGTATTGACCGATCGCGTTTGTACTCGAGCTTATCTACAGGGTGTAATAAAAATGTTGGAGGACCCGAAAATGGGAGATTCGTGAGGTGATTTGAAACAAGTTTTTCCTTAGCAAAAATATTATTTAAGGTTTTATTAACGGGATATTACCGAAAAATCCCGACCAATCAGAGCGCGAGTCTGCCAGCTGAGTTCCCGCGGCAGACACGCGCTCTGATTCGTCGGGATTTTTCCTTAATATCTCGTTAACAAAGTCTTGGATAAAATTTTTGCTAAGGAAAAACTTGTTTCAAATCACTTCACGAGTCTCTCATTTCCGAGTCCTCCAACATTTTTGTTACATCCTGTATACACGGTTCTGAAACCGGCCAGCTCGCGGTCCGATTTCGGGGCTGATATTCGGAACGAGTTTGAATTAGTTTCAAGTTGAAACTTTCAACGGCCCCGCGCCGTTCATTTGATTTCCATCGGGTCCGTCGTTGTAACGGGGACTGCGTCCGTTCGTGCGTGACGTTAACAGAGAATTCGGTTTTTCCCTCGTATATAGGTATACCTTCAGAGATTATTCTCGTGGAGGGTTTCTGTGCAGCGTCGACATGCACTTACCCTCGGATAGACAGACAGGGTTCCTAAAGGGTGATCCCATGACAGTAATCCGATACTTGACCGATACAGGTCCGTTGCGTGGGATATGAAACACGTGTTTCCCTTGGGCGACCGAACCCCCGGCCACACTTTTGGAATATTTATCAATATGTACCCGAAACCGACGTCACCGCGGCCCGGTTGTCCTTCTGAAAATCATTTATAAGTGCATTAACGCCCATTAGATGGAATCGACCGATAAGAACCGTTTATTTTTCTGTACAACCTGTAATTACTCAAATATTAAGCATATCAATGAAGTAAGCCCAGACCTTACAGTCCATGCGACGTAAAACGTACAAGAAGGAGGATAAGTAATCCACTGTCTTTTTTTTAAATGACTGATTTAATTTAATTAAAAATGTCCTTTCTAACGGTTCACTGATTAAGATGGGATGATTGGGATGTTGAAAAGTCATTATGGATATCAATTAAACATTGTAGATCCTTGATTGTTGTAGAAGCTTTAGACAGAAAATATTGGACTATTCAGTGGTACACCTATTACAATGGAATATCTACTTGAAAGGATCACGATGAGCACGTTTAAGTTAACCCTTTCATTCCCAAATTATTTAAAAGTTACCAAAGAAAGATTTTGTTGTATTTTCATGTATTTTACATGACATGTATAAATGATTCGCAAGAACATTTTAATATTTTGGAACCGTGTAATTCCGTGACTCATTTGTTGCCATTTCATAACTTCTTTATTTTTATTACAGTTGTATATAATAATTCCCGTTGTAATGTTATGATGTATAGTAGAACCCATTTTTTCTGACCTTTGAGCAATAAACTCTCTTGAAATATTTGAAAGAAATTAGAGTTTTGTAAGATTCTATTGTATGTATGTGTAACAATGTTCAACATTTGAATTTCATTAAGTCAATGAGACAAAGGACCAGTAATGTCTTATTTTACCGGCAAGCTTCTGAATGCACATTCGAATTTGTGTCATACTATCTATGCAGAAATAGAAGGAATGCAAAAAATTCGAGAAAATTCTTAATTAGTATGAGTGTCGTTATCGCAAGTGACAGAATAAATAATTTATCTTAAAAATAACAAAAGACCGCGGATCAAAAATAAATGTAACAGAGAAGCACTTTTTTTGGTGATTTTTCAATCTAAAAAGTATGATAAAGATACAAACATGATTGTGCTACTTGCAGAAGCGTTACAACTGGACGTGTTTAATAATGCTCGACATTGATTTATCTGTTCACTAACACATGTTCTTTATGTAGTGTAATTACAACTATCTCCTAACATTTCAATAACGTCTAATACTGTCATCATACGAATACTTGGTTTTCCAATTTTTGTCCACTGATTGCCTCAACTATACGACGTTTTTATTTCATCCACCTGCGGCACCTGTGTACACGCCGCGAGATACATAAATAAACGCTGCCCCGCAGGTCTTTTTACGACCGCCTCTGGCCAGCCTAATAATTTCTCTGTTTCGCCGAAGCGTCAACCTGCCGCACGAAATTTCATCGGAACAACACAGACCGGCCCCGTACGTAGTAGACAAACGCGAGTGGGGGAGGACGCGGAGCGGATTTCGGGGGTGGTCCCGTGGATTCTTTAACCCTTTTGAGACGGAGCTGTTTCTTTTAACGATAAACTCAGCAATACAATACTACTGGCTGTAATACACTCAAATACGAAGGAAAAAATAGGTTCAGCAAATTTTTGGAAATGGGATATACAGGGCGTCGTACGTAAGTGTCGCCCCGAAATTTTATGGAATTTTTTGACATTCGAAAAAGTTGTGTTAGACAAAAGTTGAATTTTTTTTGCACATATTATAAACATAAACATGGTTTATTTATATTACTCGCGCTTGTTTACATGTTGGAATACGACAAATACTTCCCAAATACTGTTTCGTACAGAAAAGTTTAGATTTCTGGGAAAATTACGGTATGTTTTTCAATATTTCTTTGTTAATGACTTTTTAGTAACCAATGATCGGCGGTTTAAATGTTCTGAAGGTTACTCGGGTGGGTGACCTTGATCACTTATATCAAGGTTGGGGTTCTCGGGTGCGGGTGCTTTTAGGAAATTCACCCGAAATTTGTTTTAAAGGAATGGATGTTATCTCTTGTTCTTTTACATGAAACTATAACATTTGTTAAACATTTTTCATTAGGACGGATCGTGAAAAATCCAACTATTATACATATATCATAAAAAAGATACAATCCTGGTAGTTCTAGTGTTAGTTTTCTTATGCACGGTAAGGTGCCAAACATTTAATACAGTGTTCCAACTCGAACACAGACAGTTTCAGTCTGTTTTTCCACCTTGGCCACTGAACATCCAATACATCTTTCTCTTTACAAACGTTATTTATAACAATACACAACTCAATTTCAGAGCATATACATATATCTCAACAGACATTATGAAACTTACCTCGGGACGTATTGTCCCGTCAGTCTCGATAGGGTTAAGGGTTCACCCGTGCCCGAGCGACGGAAGCTCGGTCAGTGTCTCGGCCACCCTCGTGTCGTGCAGGTTTGGCGAGGGAGGAGACCGTCGTCATCCCCTCTAGATATCCAACCATATATACATACATCTCCCCCCATCTCCTCCCACCCTCCGTCCGTCCGTTCGTCCCTCTCTCGACTCTTAATGCCAGTACGAGCGCGCGCTTTCGAACGACGAGGCCGCGTCCCGTCTGCCGCGCTAGGGAGACGATCAGTCTGTTCTCCACGTTCTCCACGCAAGGACGACCCGTAGCCCCAGCGCGCGGAGTGTACAGTCCTCCCGATCTGTGACACGAACTTTGACCCCCCCTCGATCGCTGGGGTTCCGACACGCGTCTTATCATCTCCGGATGACGATACAGTCGTTGAGGCCGCACGAACGTCGTGGACCGAACATTCTTCAGTAGCGATCACGTTTCCGACGCGGTCGTGTCGGTTCGGTCGTGTGGTTCGTCGTCACGGGGAACGGAGATCTGTCTATATAAATATACACACGCACGCGTTGTATCTTCCCGCTTCTTTTTTGTGTCTTGCGCGCTCCTTTATTCACGCTAGGGGGGGGGAACAGAAAAGGAGAAAAGGTGACGAGGAAAGGGGGGTGGGCGAGGACTTCAGAAACACACACACACACACACAGACATACATACACACACACGCACATTTACACAGTTTCTTTCTCGTCCCACCCGACATCGTTGGTGGTGTGGCAATCAATTTTTTTTTTTTGTTTGCCCGACCAAGGACACCGTCGGTCCGCTCAGGCTTGGTAAGGGTTGTGCCTCTCGCCATTCGACGTTCTGAGACGCACACATAAACATCGTATAGGAGATATGTGATCGGTGATTTTTCTATCTCGAAAAGGAAGAAAGTTTTTGTTTCTTTCCCGCCTCGCTGGTGTGCGCCGGTTCGTGCAAACGGGGGTGGTTTTTACTCGGTGGAGGGCCGAGCAAACGGTGACGGGTGATATATACAGAGTGTGGCAAATGCATCGGTGTAGACGGTAGTACCACACGGGCTGGTCTTTTATGGGCCGGGTGGTATTTGGAAGCGGATCGTTTACGTTTCATACACCGTCGAGAATATATCTCGAGATGAGACTGTTGGTGATCTCGATCATCTGCTTGGCGACACGGTCCGCCGATTGCCGGGCAGTGGACGGCGATTCGAGGGAGAAGGAAGTGGGAAGGCACAAACGAAGGTTCACCGTGGATCAGCTTCTGAACTCGAAGTTCCCGCACGGGATCAGCGATGATCTGGATGCGGACGTGTGTAAAGCGGGTAAGTGGAGTTTGGATTTTTTCTTTGTCGAGCCCGTCATTGAGATGTCGACGATTCCATGGATTGAAATTAGCAATGTGTAAGGGTTAAGACAGTTAAGAGATTTGTGTTTATTTGACCGATCAAGTTTAAATGATTAGTAGGTGTGTCTGAAAATAATAATGTGTCGTTAATTTGGTAAATACTGTTATTTTATTTAATTTTATCAATGGGGAATTGAAGTTTTGCCAGAGAAATAGCAAAATGTTATAGAAAATGTGTGGAACTATTTCGAGTAACATATGGTGTAGCAATTGGTCAATATTAACGAAGATTTTCGATGAGAAACTGAGTACCTTTCCATACACATGTTCAGGAAAAGTTGTTGCGAAATAAATCAGTAATAATATTACTTTTCTGAATTTGCTGTTACGCAAACTGACGCCGGAAGTATAAATTGAATGTTTTAAAGAGTCTTCTGATAAAGATGTTTCTTGCAAAGCATATACATACATAGTGTGCGTGATTCGTACTATTGTTTGAGACAAACGACACGTGATTCACATATTAACAGCAATCAAATTTTTTTGTTTTAATTGCTGTAATTGAAATAATTACTTCCATGCTTAGGAGAATTTTGTCAGTAAATGTTAAATGATACTACTACTTCAATGTAATATTAATAGTGCAATAAATGAGATTGATTAGAAATCTATGATCTAAATAGGATATATTAGAGAATCTTCTAAGAAAGGAATGTAATAATGATACTGCTTCACAATTCGATTTTTTAGGCCTTTCGTGAGTGTTTTGCAATTGACACCAATTACGCTCTAAAAGAAACGAAATTCGATACGAATTTAGCGAACAAGCGTACCGTCAATGTGCTTCGTGAATTTGAAATACAAATGGAATGACAGATAAAGAACGTCATCCTCGCGAGTGCAATTATGTAAAATATGGATCTCTGTTTCGCTACGAAAACGACAAAAAAAAACTCGGCGTTATCAGTTGAATAGTGAATCGCGAAGAAATTTTCCCTCGTTTTCCGTCAGTTTCATAACGCGTGTTGCGAAAGAACTACTCAGAAGCGATTAATTAAAAAGATGTATCACAACGCTTGATAATGCGAGATATTGATAATTACAATGAAGTTTCATCAACATTTAAGTGCATATTGTGTGAATATTTCTCAAACTCTCAAATTCATGTACAAATATGCCAGAAGTGAATATGCATCAAATATAACAGAATGTTTGGATACTACATCCTTAAAATTCATATTTAGTTTGAATACTTGTTTGGGAAATATTAGTCTGAAAATTAGAACAATTTGAGGATTTGTAGATCCTATAGGCAATTATTAACCAACTTAAATAGAAACAGTTATTGTTTATGTAGAATGTAGTTCTCCCAATTGTTTAAATAATTTTTTAGAAGAATTCTTATAATTATTCAATAATTAATATTACCATTAATATTAGCTTGTTGCAATGAAGTTTAGGACGTATGAAGGTCAACACATTTTTAATCAGAATTTGATGCTCTATCGATCTATGATACAAAAAATAGTTCATAAATTTGGCTTAAATTTGCGTCTTTGCACATGAAGTAAATGGCCAAATTTAACTTGCGATTGTTTCCTTACTTTTATTCTGTGACTGCAAGGAAAAACGCTGCATGTCATAATTCTAAACAATTCGAAACAAATTTTCCATGTTCGAATAAATAATGCAATTTAACCGACGTCCCATATTCAATTCATATTTATAAGCAGAACAACGTAAATCCACATTTGCGGGCTCGTATCTTTTTTTCGTGATCGCTTTCCATTTGTTATTTCTATTAATCCGTTTATACTGTAACTTATTGTGTATACAATTAAAACGAACAAAATTATATTTTATATTTTCACTTTACCATAAACAGCACACTATTACATACGACTGATACATACATACGTAACAGGTATTTTACAAAAAAATAACGCAATGCGTAGAAAAATATTATGCAAGGTGACGGAACTATACATTTATATCGCAAGAAGAAAGCAAGGAAACGTTGCTAATAAGAAGAATTAGTGTTCGAAACTTTAAACGACAATATCTCGAAAGTGGAAACATGTGACATGCGGAGTTTTTCCTGACAACCACAAAATTCACCATAAGTAGTATTTAACACAATTCATTTCATTGTTATGTCAGACAATATCTTGTAACGAGTAAGGTACACCGTGTAACTTCGCAACAAAGAAAGTAGCTGTATTAAGAATTTTCATTCATATCAAAAATACCATCAAACATACCGAACAGTAAAATCGCTCGTTTCACGTGAAACGACCCAATATTTGCATAAGGATCCGCGGTCTAAACCCAGCATTATCGTCCCAGAAAATCAGTATTCCCTGTCACGGATCAATCTTCGACGGGCCCTTTAATCCCTTTCACGACCACTCAAAGCCCATCCTCTAACGACTTCCTTAATTATTTAGACCGCAGAACCGCACGGTCACGAAAAGTCTCTCTCCACCCTTTGTCCGTTTGGCGGGCAAGCAATGCCCGATCGGTTCGGTCAGGTAAATCAAAGGCAACAGGGGGGATGTTCCCGTTTATTGTTGCGCATTGATTCCATGTCCCTGGTGCGCCGTAAAGCGTGCAACGGGCTCCAGTCAAAAGCCACCGGCGAACGCAAGCGATTCTGCACGGTCTCCCGCGAGGTAAGGTTATGTTTTCGAATTAAAGGGACAAAGCTATGAAAGCAGAGATATACGGGACGAGATTGGCCGATCTGGAATCGTCGCAGTCGTAGAATCAGCCGCTGATCATTATTAAGCCGCTCGCCAAGTAGTAACTACCTCGTATATTAAACAGTTCTTAAACTGTTAAAATAGATATGAGGCCCCTTTCCCCTCTGGGGCCCGAACAAAATTGTGATATTTAGGAATTTTTTTTTAAAGAAAGCAAAGACCGTATGGAAAAAACAAATTTTTCGGCCTTTATTTATTATACATTCAAGTGAATAAAAAACAGGTTTGTTTCAATTTTTGTGCATCGTGACAAATCGTGGGTGGCGCTGATCGTGTTGATTCGAAATTGCACTGTACAAACGGTGCTCGCGATATCTCGATGTAGGTTAGTCCGTAATGCAAATTTCAAAAGATCATTGAATCGTACTCCATTATATATCGTATGACCTATGATGAAATCAAAAATGTAAAATGACCACTGTTGGTATGAATTTTAACGAGCACATGCAAAAAAGGGATATTTTACGCACATTATTTTGAATAAGAGGTGAATTCATGCTTCAAAGAGTTAGTAGGTCAAGGTGATTCCTTGGATCTTCATTCAGTTTTATAAAATTCTATTTTAAAAAGTAGAAATTGCTAAACTATCGAGTGTTAGTGCCAAAAAAAAAAGGATAAGTGAATATACTGTTATGTTTTTGTTTGTATTTTGTTTACCTATGGTCAATAAAGATTTATGCAAAAATTTTGTTGAGACCAGCTCTTAAAACAAACTATTCTTACAAAACAAAATCAGCGCTTTAAGTTTCGAGTTTCAAAATCTTACAAAGTTTCGCATTCGAGTTACGAGAATTTAAAAATTAGGCACCAACCGGCCCCCAGTTTTTATTGAACGTTTGGTTTATTATATAAAGACTATTGACAATTTGATATCTACAAATAGGGAAGCATTGTTAACTTTTGAGTTGCGCCAAAGTACGCGTGTGGCTTCTACAGCAGTATTATGTGATACATTTCGTTATAAACGTGGCTGTATCGAAAGGGTTAATCCTCGAGTGCCTATAGTCGAGTCACCAATGATCATTGAGTATCCCCAACCTAAGGCTTTATAGGGATAGAATCTAGCTGTCCATCAGTTTACTATAAAATTTCATCAAAATTGGTGCGTAACACATTACGCGGTTCCCTTGCAAGGGTCTAGGCTGGGGAAAAGATCCTTTTATCCTCTTGGAGTGATTATCCTAGGGCGTGCCTGGAAAGAACCGTAGGAGAGCTAAAACTGGAGCGACTGGCGATGAAATGGGAATAAAAAACGACGCGTTGATCCGTCTGGGCGCGGGAAAAATGCGACGAAATCGTTCGAAGACACGTATTATCATTGTTATAACGCGAACGTTCAAAGACTAATTGACGTTGTTCATGGTATAGAAGAATTAAGATACATACATTATTTGATAGTTGTAAAATGGGGTTTTTTTATTGATACATGTTCTTGAACTGGTTGCCACTGTTTTTTTTTAATGTATATCTAGAGACCATTTTTCTGAGTATTGGATTGATGTATAAATAATGGGATGTATTTCAAATGAAAACAAAATTTTTTATTTAACATCCGTACACTGTTCAACAAATTATTGCATTATCGTTCATTGAATTGAATTGGGTCTAATTTAAAATCGAATTTAGGAAATATATTTGCCTATCCCTAGATTATAATATATGTAAGGTATTGTTAATACCTTACTTGTGTTATAATGGTGTCAAAATAATTTACAAATTTCTGTAATAACAAATATAATGAAGAATCAAGTATTGGCTTCGGGTCAAATTGAACCGAACAGTGCACGAGGGTGAAATATGAAACCAATTAATTTAATCAACTCCGTAACTTAACAAACTGTATACTACTGTACCAATTATATACAACATTAATTGTTCTGACTAAAAAAAAATGTTTCAACCTGTATCTGGACACATTTTATTTTCGAAGTATTTTTTTGATACTCTGAACACACCAGCGATCTAAAGAAATAATCATCTGATAGTAAAAAGTCTAATTAATTGGGTGGGTGCTATAAAATTGTCTAATCGAAATGATGTAGTAATGAAAATAGACTTTGTCTGTTCATACTATCGATCCAAATTTCTCAGGGAAAACAAAACTGACGATGAGTAATTTGCACGTCAAATTTAATTTACTACCATTAACGGGAAAACCCTTTTTACAGAAAATTTTAACAATATCATAGCATGCCACTACGTATAGTAGTTTTAA